ATGCTCACACAAACCTGACTGGAAAGCACAAAATTCGCATATGCTTCTCACCTCCAATGTGTACGTACACACACACACACACACACACACACACACACACACACCCTCCTCATATCTCTGTCGTGCACTAGAGAGGTTGGTCCCTTACAGCTTTGCACACACACTGGTGGATGAGTCACTACCCCTGAAGCCTGTAGTTTCCACTGTGGTTCACTGCTGGTGTATGTGCTGTAGGTGCCAACAGCATGCATCTACGATTTTCCTATTGTACAGAGTAGTTTTACTACCCTAAATATCTTTTGTTCTCTGACCACTCACCCTTCCCTCCCCTATAATTCCTGTCAATCAACGATCTATTCATTACCGTCATAGTTTTGCCTCTTCCAGAATGTCACACAGTTGAAATCATGCTATATGTGACTTACTCGGATCTCTTTTTTCACCTAGTCATATGCATTTAACTTTCTTCCATGTCTATTCCCAGCTTGGTAGCACATCATTTTCTTAGCTAATATTCTGTTTGTGTGGATGTACCAGAGTTTATGTATTCATTCACCCACTAAAAAACACTTTATCTGCTTGTAAGTCTTGACAATTATGAATAAGCCCAGTGTGCGTATTCATACGCCACTTTTATAGGGACCTATTTTCATTCCACTTGAGTTAATACAAAGTAGCGAGACTGTGGGATCACGGTGTGAGAATATGTTAGATTTTGATTAGAAACTTCCAAATTGTCTTCCAATGTGGCTGTACCATTAGTGCATTCCCGCAGCCATGAGTGGGATTTCCTTTTGCTCAACATCCTCACCGGTGCTTGGTGCTATTATTGTTCTGTATTTTCTCCATTCCAATAAGCGTGTAGTGATTTCTCAGTGTTGCTTTAATTGCAATTGATATGTTTGTTTGTCTTCTTTGATGAGGCTTCTGTTAACATCTTGGGCCCACTTTTTAAATCAAACTGTCCAACTCTTGTTGCATAGGTCCTGCTTTACCTTGGTCTTAACCATCCAGCAGAAAGTATAAAAATGAAATATAAGAAGTAAAGCCATGATGTTATGTTGAGCTGTAGGGGACTCAGGTCAACAATTTCTGATGTTGCCAGTCAAGCGGAAGACCCAATACTATTATGGGCTACTGGACTCTTTTAAAATATTTTGCTGAGTTTACACACCTATAATGTTCAAATAACTGAAAAAAGAGGATA